TTGCCACTTTATGTTTACCAGCAGTTATTCCTTCTTTGTCTTACTTGTTCAGCCGAAACAGTATACAATAATTGAAACAGTTGTTGAGAAATCAAAACACTGTGTCCTTACTTGGGTTGACCACAGTTGGTGATGAAATTTGGAAGATATAGAAAGACAAGAAGAAGCCATATGGATACGATTTCTTAAAAATGTAAGATGAAATTCAAGCAAGGTATTCTAATGTACTGGCAAAATGGAAGGGGTTGCTGGACCATCTCCTCTGATCACTTAATCTTAGAGGTAGTTATGAAGAGAAAAATCCATTCAGGAGAGTGTCTAAGAAGATAAGTTCTGAAGAGGCGCTGGGAAAAAAAAAGTGATTAATCCTATCAAAAGCAGTGGGCAGGGGAGACCAGAATAATAGTGAGTCTCAAGTGTTTCACAAAGACCTTTTGTGTATGCCATCTCTGTTCTTTAGAGCAGCCTTGAGAGAGGGGAACCTCACTTATTATCATTATTTTATAGATGTGGAACTGAAGCTCAGGCACAATCAAATGACTTGCCCAAAGTCATACAGCTAGTAAAGAATGAGGCTAAGACCTGAACACAGGTCTTCCAATTCAAAGGCCATTATAACCTGCTTTGAGGGAACATCACACGTGGTTGTGTCACTAAGGACTACTGACTGATTAGCTCTGTTCATAATAGAAGGCAGACTTTTTCTTCCTTGAATATATTCACCTGAATAACTAAGGGAAATGTTTAGAAGCCTTAAATAAAAACATTATCTTTCAGGTTATCTTCAGCTTCTAAATGTTTCTTATGTCAATATATTAAGTTTCTGAGGGATATATATGTCCCAGAAGAGACTTCAGGAAAACATAACTGTGTTAATACCATCTGAGGCTTGAGCCCAAACCCATATTGGATTTCCTATCCTGGTGACATCAGCTAGGCTATGTCTTCACCTCTAGGTGAATAAGGCTTAGTATAAAGGCAGACCAAAGATAAGAGGCTTGATTATTGCACTCCAGACCATACTGGACATTTGTCAGTCATCTTGCAGAAAATTAAAAAATAAAATTAGCTGAGATATAGTAACACATATGGTAAAATACACAAACTTTCAGTGTACAACTTGGTGAATTTTTACTCATGTATCCACCCATGTAAACCACTAGCATTAAGACATGGAACATTTCTGGCACCTGCAGGCTATTTCAGAGTATCTGTAAAAATGAACTTCCCCGCTCTAAACTATCAATGGGTAATAAGACAGCCTTTGTCTACAGACCTAACTGGGCAGGCACGTGCAAGCAAGTATTTTAAAACTTAACGGAGTCTCTAGCTATTCAGAGGGATGCCTTAAGTTGACCATGAGGGTGGGTCAAGCATTTACTGGATCTTGCTGTTTTGGGCTGTTGCTCTGCAATATTTCACCCATCTGTTCACTCTTAAGTAGTTTATATCCGAGGAGATGGTCACTCCTTCCACGTGGTTTTTTTGTTGTTGTTTTTTTAATTGAAGTACAGTCAATTACAGTGTGTCAATTTCTGGTGTACAGCACACTGTCCCAATCTTGCATATACATACATATATATTCATATTTTTTAATATTAAAGGTTATTACAAGATATTGAGCATAGTTCCCTGTGCTATAAAAAAGAAACTTTAAAATAATCTATTTTAATATTTAGTGGCTAACATTTGTAAATATCAAACTCCCAAGTTTACCCCCTCTCACCCTCTTTCCCTGGGGGTAAATTTGGGAGTTTGGTATTTACAAATGTTAGTAAACATAAGATTCTTACTAAGCCTGAGAGTCTCTTTCTGTTTTGTAGATGAGTTCATATGTC